TGAGCCAAGCTGAGCCATGCAGTGTCAATTAGGCATCAGAGTTCATGTTTTTTAGGGCTTGTTTTGAATCTTTGCTGGCTGACTAGATTGCAGGCAACACTACAACAACACTAATCTCTCCCATATCTCTGTTAAAATTCCAGCCTATCCATACATACCATCTACCCTGATCCCCATCTCAGAACTGCGGTGAGTTCATTTTAAGACTACATGAGACCCCAAGTTACTTTGTACTGTAGTTAATTTTTTTGGAAAAATTTCATCATATATCTTACCCTGACACTGAATTATTGGACCAAAGTTGGTGAATAGATGTCGATTATTTTTTGTGCTGTCAATGCAACCTACAAATTATCCAGAAAATACTACATAACACAGATGCAGTCCCATCACTTGTATAATCTTCTTTGTGCTGTTACTACAGCTCTCAAGCAAGCACCACACCACCTCCTTGTCAGTCTCCTGAACCACCAATGACTCCTGGGGAGTTTGACATGCTCAGCGAGAGTCTATGCTTCAACATTGACACCGTAAGTTTGCATGCTTTGTCTTTTATAGGCTACCAATTCTGTTGTAAAAGAAAGACTGGCAATATTCTGTGTTCTTTCTTATTGTCAGTAAACTCACGAAAAGACCAAACCAACAGTGAATTGATTCTACAGGTACAAGTATTCTGTGTGTATCCAAAACCTGATGTATATTTTATTCCTCTGAGCTATGAGCTCCATTGTTGTCCAGAAACTGTTAAAAACAAATTAGTTGGCCACACTGTTGCAATGGGTGACATGCTCCTTCATTACCATGAACACCCACACTGTAGTTTCTTTTCACTTATTATTTTTACTTTGATTTTTTTTGTTTTTTTGTTTTTTTACATGAGTCCTCTATACATTCTGCTAATGTTGTTCTCATTTTTGTTTTACAGATGAGTTCTCCATATTCAGAGTAAAGTGAGGTGAAGCACTCCAATCTCCAATCAGTGTCTACATCTTTGTTATCATGAAGCATTTGCTGTGTTTAAACAGGTCTGTGTGGTTGAATGGGATTCATTGCTTGAGCTTTTTTTTCTTCAGTATTTTTGTTGAATATTAACTTAGCATTCACAAACACAAACATACAGAAACTTTAAACAAGGATGGTAAACCAAGTGGATATGTTGAAAAAGATCAAATGAAATTTTAGTTCAATAAGAGAGAAAATATATGAAGGCAATATATGACGGGACTCCACACTCCCCAAAAAAACCTATACTCATCCCACACCATATTAGTCATCTTTTCCACTGACTAATTTCTTGTCATTTCTTTTAAACTAACTATTAATACTTGGCACACTGTTGTTCTCCCATTGTAAAGCAGAGGATGTTTTACCTGTTAGATTCAAAAGTCTGTGAATGTATACTCTTTTCTTTTCAGTCAGGCATCTTGAGGTTATAAATGTGATTTAAATCATTGCTGGTAGAGATAAACTGATATTCTGGATTTCATCTGTCATACTGTTCACATATTCCTAAAATGTCTTTATGTGTTCACACTCCCATATGCAGTGGAATAGAATACCTTTTTGATGTTTTATTGAGTTTCACAAAAACAGAGTACCTTTAAACTCATTGCATTTCACACATCAGGAATATTTTCATTGTATTTTTGTAATGTAACTGGGGTTATATAATTGCACATTAAACACTCTTATTTGTAGGTAATGTTTCTAGAAATATTATCTGTCAAAACATTTTCCCAAAAGACATAAATGTATTGGTATTGTATAAATCTGCTTAGATCTTAATCCCTTCATCAACCCAAACTGGAAAAAGCTGCATCCAGTTGCCCTGGTGTAATCCCAGTATTGGCCCAGATGAGTCAACAACAACGTAAGGAGTTGGGGATATCTTAATATCTATTAACTTCAAACCATATATTTATCATATTCAAATATTATTATATAGAATTCTTTCTTCATTTAAGATGGCAATTATGAGATGAAAATGAAAACATAATGGTTCTTAGTTGGGCAGCCCAGTAATAGCACTGCCATTTAGGACATTGAAGTCCTCCATTATTGTTAAGCAGATACAAACATGTAAAATAATCATTTCAGAGGTGGCAAAGGAACATTTTGGACAGATATACAACTTTGAGCAATGAATTCATTTAAAAAAAATATGGCTTGAGGTGCTGTTTATTGTATTTATATATATTCATAATTGTTCTTAGATTAATTTGTTTTTATTCTTAGTCTGTGACGACTTGGTTTTGAATTATATTGACTGATTGTAAGGCCTCTATTGTATATAAAACAATTTAAACATGTTTATGTTGTCTGTAGTGTACCGTGCTGACGTTAACTAACGCACTCATCCACATCATCGTCACTTAAATTATTCAAGGTTTGTTCATCTGCCCCCCGCAGCCCTTGATGAGGCATTGCAAGGTCTACAGACATACAGCAGAAGTTTATGGAGCTTTTATTTTGGAATCCATCGGAAGTAAAGCGTCTGCGCCTGACTGCTTCTTGCTTGATACCTTGATACGTGCTTCTGCAGCATTTGTCGAGAACCACGTGATTCCCGGAGAGTGAAGAGTGGGTGGACATATTTATTTACTTTGAATAGGTCAACCGGATGAGGTGTGTGGGATGTGTAAGTCGATCCAGGACCAGGCATGCCTCACCGTTTGTCGTTATGTCATCGTGAGAGACCTGCACAGATTTAATATTTGCAAAGCAGCATAAAACTGATCTAGTTTATATTAGTCAGTTCCTTACTCTCATCAAGATACAGTGTCATAAAATCCAAACAACAGAATCCAAATGTACTCTACCGTTGTGAGAAACAAGTTCTAAATTATTATTAATTATTTATTAGTTGTAACAGGATAATTCGTTACTCTTTATACAGTATGTGAACCACTGCCTCCACCCAGAGTAGGCTATTGCATAAAGCCCCCTATTTTCATACATTTGGTAACAGTGTGCAGAACCTGACAATAAGATGCATTTCACAACCAGTGTTGGGTGAGTTACTTTTGAAATGTAATAGGTTACAAAAGTAGTTAGTTATGCTTTTGAAAATGTAATAAGCAATGTAACTATTTCAAGTAGTGTAACATAAGAAAATGAATTATGTTTTCATTACTTCACCAACAAATGTTTTGAAGCTGGAACACGTCCGCAAATAGTCTATGCCAAAAGAAGGTATTCCTGCATGGTTAAAAGATGCAAAGCAATAGAGTAAAGTATGTATTCTACATAACAATGTGTTGGGCAGAGAATGGGTCCTTATGAGAGAATGTCACTGTGGAAATATGCCTGTGTTACAAGATTAACTATAGAAGGAAATTCATCTTTATGCTTATGTACCTCCTTGGGATTCTGTTTGTGTATAGGTTTTTAGATAGATTTTAAACTTTAGACAAGGCCAGGCTTGCTGCCCCCAGTCTTTATGCTAAGCTAAAGTAACTGGCTCTAGCTTCAGCATATAGACATTAAAGTGACTGACCTTCTCATCTGACTTTCTGTGAAGAAAGTTCCCAAAACATTAATTTCTGTAAAAAGTAGTTAAAGTCAGGTATCAGTTCCATGGCACAAAATAAATGACTTAATTATATCCTTTCCATGTTTAGTTTGGAGTCTAGCTAGTAGCCTATGGGCCAGAGCTCTAATTTTCTATCATCATTTTAGGGCATCAGAACAAGCAGAAAAGACAACATTATCACAATCTTATAAAGTCATTGTTGTGAATGTGTTAACAAACACTTGGATCTTTACACATCCAGCAGACACAGAGCAACATTATCAGTCATTTGGAGACATAGTTCTTTCCCCCTGATAAATATATGTCAAATATTTACTGTACTTTAAACCTCTGTTTTGGTCTCCACCAACTCCTGAGGTTTTTATCTAAAAAGAAAAAAAACAAAACCAGCACTGTGCATGTTCCTTATCTGAATTTAGATCAGCACATTTCTTAGGTCATGTGGCTGGCTGCCCACATTTTTTTCCACAACAATTGCATACAAAGGAAAAAATGACTCATACCATTTTCAGGAGAGGGTTTATTGTTATGAAAACACACTTCATTTTACTAAAGCCAAAATAAATATGTTTATATTTGTTGTTTTAATGAGTAACAGGGCATATTTTGGTTCAAAATCAAATGTGGTTATCATATATTGAAGATAATTAGGATTAATGCTGGCCTCCATGCCCCCCACAGAGGCTGGGCCCCAGAAAGCTTATCCCTGTACCTGTCGTCTGGGTGGAGCAGACCACCAGACCAAAGCCATGAGCAAAAAGAAGCTAAAAATTTCAGTAGAGCTGAGACACTACAGAACTGGTTGTAATTTTCTGTGGGTTTGTGAGCTAATTTTTCATGTTAAATATTTCCTAAATATTGACTGGTGCTTTTTCAAAGCTCTATTGAGGACATTTTGACTTGTCACAACAGTAAAACAGTAAAAGCACAGATGTTGCTAATGATATTAAGATAAAAACTGGCTCTGTTGCATTCAGAAGTCCCAGTAAACCATGACGATGAGTCAGCATACAGGATATTAGAGCCCTGAAACTTAAACACTGCAATTAAATGCAGCCACCATTAATGCTATTATTACACCTGTGCTTTTCCTGGTTTGACAGATTAAAATGTTTCCAGACAGTGAAAAATGTCTATAGTTCAGCTCTCTGGTAATCTGGACCAATGACATACAGACAGTGAAAACGTGTGCCTTTTTTTTAAAAGGATAAACCTTTCGCTAAACTGTTTTTTGCCACTGAGTTTGGGTCTTAGAGTCATCCGTTGAAATATAATATCCAACACCACCCGGAGAGGAAGACGCTTAAACGAATGTAGCCCGCCCTGCAAGCTGTTGTTAAATCAAGGAAACTCCCCAGTGTATAGTGAAAAAAAAAAACTCTTAGAAGCGGAAGCTCAATCTGTGTTGATACTGGTTAACTTGACATCGCTCAGCGAGACCACTTTTTACCGAGAATCACATGGGGTGTGTGGGAGGGACCGGTGAATAAAAGCAACGCTTTATTCTTCCTGTTACTCATAAACTCATAACCGGACTATAATGTTACACTGTGTTTCTGCTCTAACACATTATCCTGCACACCATAGCGACAAACAACAGCAAGGACAAACAAGGACAGCTTCAAGGCAAGTCGGTAAGTCCCTGTAGGAATAAGCAGAAAATTGTTGCGGTATGTTTTATTAGGGCATAGTTTTAAATTGTAGGTTACAGGTAACAAGTTTAAAGGCTAAAGTTAAGCGGTAGGCTATTTAGGTAGTCGTGAGTTTGATGTCGTACTTTAGTATAAGCTATTATTTTTAACTTTCATCAGATAAATAACATAATTATACAGAATATACAGTGTGGCATAATAATAAAAAACGATATACCCTCAGCTGTGGGAAACTTACAATTAACAGAGAACCCAGTCGTGTACTTACTACAGTAGCATTACGTTGGTGACTTTTTCTTCACGCTGGTTACTGTTTTTGGCGACTAACAGCAGATGGCCCAGTGGCAGGATCTGCTGAGGCTGGACTCAGCCCTCCAGGGCCGGGTGAGCCAGCTGTACGATGAGAGGAAATTCCCCAGAGAGATCCGCCACTATCTGTGCGTCTTCATAGAGAGCCAGAACTGGTAAGAAACACTCTTTGAAAATATAGTTGCATGGCATTTGAGGGCCCTGAGCCTCCAGGTTCACAATGTAGCAGCTTGTGTGAAGTAATTTCAGTGCACATTTGTGCGCCAATAAAATATTTACAACATTACGACATTCTCAACTTTGACAGCTTCATTAAATTTTGTTTTCTGAAATTAGTTTTGAAATGTATTAACAGTCTAGCTCCAGAGCCTCTTTCAAGATGAATGGCAACTGTAAAATTCCATATTGTAAATCTAAATTTGGACAATGAGCTTTTTCCATAAAGGACTGTCAACTCTGGAACACATAACCAACTGAGATCCAAGTGATTTCAGATATGAAACCCTTCACAACAAAGGTCAAGTGCTGGCTAAAAGCAAATCAGAGCTGTGCCCACTCTTAGCTAATTGCACTCAACATTTCTAAGGGGTATCAGTGTAAGTGTAATGGTGTATTGTGGTATGTATATTTCAGTATATGTATTGTAGTATGTGCCTTGTAGTGTATGTTTTGTGGTACATGTTGTGATGTATGTATTGTAGTTAAGTAGAATTGTTATGTACTGTGGTGTGTGTATTGTCGTATGTGAATTTATTGTGGTAAAAGTATTCTATTGTGCCTTCCATGTTTATAGTGTCTTGTGGTTTTATAATATTTGAAACTGTATATTTTAATAACACTCTAGGCCTCCAGGTAAAAGCCCAACTAGGGACAAGAGTTGAAAATTAGCAATAGCTATAAACACAACACATCAGTTCTGGAACTATGTTGAACTGCATCGTCCCTATCAAATAAAGAATAAAATAAATAAATACAATTAATAATACTGTATATGCTGCAATTAAAATACTGTAATGAGAAAGGTCTCAAAGCAACACTTGCATTATTTACCATTTGATGCACTCTGTCATAGTGGGGCCCTAAATTAAAACCTAGTTTTGAGGTCTTGAATATGCCATTTGTTTATTGTCCCTACATATGTGTTTCACTAAGTGTTATTTTTCTTAATCTAGTTATTACAAACTAATCTGTACTCAGTGCTCAGAGTGGTGCCCCTTGCTGGGTTAACTGGCCCTTGTGCTTAATGATGGTATTTTTTTAAATCTTGTGCATGCCAGTTATTAACTTGTTAACCTTTTTTCATTACTTTGAGAAAACACACTAATCTATTACGATATAATGATAATGATGATGATGATAGGAGGAAGAAGAAGAAAGAAGACTGTGTTTTGTGACACAGACGGTTGCAAATACACTCAGTGTTGCCAGATCTTGTGAGACAAATAAGCAACCGGGCCTGTGAAAACAAGCCCAAAACAAGCGACTTTTTCTACAGAGCCCCCCTAGGTTCCGGTGAGAGAAAATTAAATAAACTGTCTGCACGGTTTTACAGTCCATGGGGACAGATTTTAAACTGTGGGTACAGATTGTCAATTTACATCCATGTGGACAGATAAGTAAACTGTGTGCAGTTTTGCAAAACTGTACCCACGGTACACAGTTTATTTATTTTTCTCCCCCCTGAGCTTCAGGACAATGACTACAAGAGGGAGTTAAACCACCTTTTAACATTATTTAACTTTAGAAAACAGATGGGATATCAAATATAGACTGATGTACCAAGTACATTATATACACAGTAAACCTCTGATAATTAAAATTTGCGCACACACAAATAAATATCATCCTGAATTCACAAATTCTTTATTTATTATTGCTTTTTATGCCCTCAACTTCCTTTTTTCTTTTAGTTACAGGACTGACGTTCTCCTAACCAGAAAAAAACACATTACTCTGCTCTGCCTCTTTTTTTCTTTGATTGGCTAGTACTCCTTGCCATCAGGGTCAGAGCCAATTAGAAGCAGGATGCGGGTGGGGAAAAAACTCTGCTGTCTCCTGTGTGTAGGGGAAAGGGGAGGGACAGAGGGAACAGGCAAGACAAACTATCCTACGTTTAAATAACATATCGAAAATATCTGCTTGACAACTTATTATGGAGCTGGGAACAAGCCCAAATAAGCAACTACGCTTTAGAAACAAGCCCAAAAAAAAACGCGACCCACGACTACCAATATTTGTAAGCGACTTTACAGAAAAACAAGCCCAAAGTCGCTTATAATAAGCGGACTTGGCAACACTGAATACACTGACTTAAATGGGTAGTTCAGCTGTCCAAATGTGCATTTCTAATTGGCTGACTCAAAATGAAATTCATTTGAGGGAGTGGTTAGGTAGTACCTGTATTAACTATTGAGAGACGTCCCCACAAAGTATGCCCTCATTCAGCACATGTAGACAGACTTAATCCCTACATGACTGTAAATATTCTGTTGTTCTGTTGTAGGGATTTGGCAGCTGTGGATGAAAATACAGCAAGTACTTGTTTCTATGCACTCCTGCTGTGTTTGGATGAACAGTGGAACCGTTCTGTCCAGGAGAACAACATTTTGCAGGGACCTGATTTTCCAGGAATGAAAGACTACTTGCTGGTAGGACAGACATGCGTTTTTTTTTACGTTAAACATTTAACATTTCATTTAGATTCACCTCTGTTCTTTAAGCAGACTAGATAGGAACTCATTGCTTTTCTGCATATTTGCTTTTTTTTCTCCTTTTGTTCTTTTTACTTAGAAACACTTTGGAGGTGAGCCACTGAAACTGGCTGTAGTCCTCTCTGAATGTCTTAAAGAGGAAAAGAAAATTCTGGCTTCAGCCTCTGAAGCACAGGTAAGATGACTGATGATATCAGATGGATGAACAATACAGTGCAGTCCAGGCTGCAGAAACATGGTAAACGTAAAACTCAAAAAAAAAAAAAAAGATCTAGGAACTAATTATGTGCCACAAGCTTATTCAAATTTGTCTTGTTTGTTTATACTTTTCTATTCCTGCTCTGAAGGGGTACATTTAAAATCTTTTTTTGGCACAATGAACTTCATATTTCAGTTTATTTAAGGGCTATGCAGACAAATATGATGGTTCTAGTTTCCACACATTTTTTTTCTCCAAGTGAAGTTTTTTTGTTCTATTCTGTCAAAAAAAGAGGAAGAGATCTGCATCATGCCTTTTCCTTTGTCACTTGTAATGATTCATTTTGTTTTGCAGTGCATCCTTTAATGTAACTAAGAGGCACACACTGTCAGCATGAGTATCTGTTTTGTAAGAATTACCACCATCTCCAATAACAGCAAATGAGTGAAACAGATGTGTTTGTTTTTGTCAGGGTTGGAACAGCCCAGCTGTGGATCAGAAATGGAGAGAGTTGGACAACAAAGTCAATGAACTGAAACAGAAGACTGCGGTATTGATTGATTACACACTTGTTCGCTGGTTTGTTTTCCAACTGACAGCCACCCTGTGAAAAAAATACTTTATCATTTCTAATTTTGGGAACTTTAACTCGATTGCAGGAGGTGAAGAAGGAAATGAAGTCACTGGAGTTCCTAAATGAAAACATAGACTTCATACAGAAGACGTGGCAAAGCCAAGGTATGGGGAGGGGGGGGGGGGGCATAAAGAAACAGCTGATAGGTTTGGTGTGAGCTCATGCTTCATTGTGTCTCATTTTTCATTTTCAGTGGAGCAGAATATCGGATTGGCCCAGTCCCAAGCTGTTGTGGAAGGGGAATGTCTTAAGCGGACCAACCGTATCACACAAACAAAGCAGGTAGTGTAGATGCATCTCTGGTCAGTTGTTGTTGACACAGCATAAACTGATGAGCATTTTATGTTTGAAGCAGTTTAAAGGAAAATTCCTGCCCTGGAAACAGCGAACCAATGTGAAAGGGAAACTTGGACTCCCTTTTCCATATATTTGTGTCTAAGTGACTAATAGGGACAACATTTTTAAAAAATTGGTCCAGTATTGAGCAAGAGCGCTTCAGACGCGAAATGGGTTACAATCTAATCCTACAGGGCCATAGCAAGCCTTCACCGTACATCGACTAAAAGTGCTAGTTTTTGCCTCTGACAGGCTCAGATTGTTATTGTAAGTGTCAGTTTACAGAAAGGATCCATACAGACAAGTAAAAGGCTTTGTTTTCTCCATTAGTCACTTAGACACAAAAACTTGGAAAAATAGGCTCCAGGTTGAAAAATAGCAAAGGTTCCCTTTAAGACTCACATGAGAGACTCAAATCCGTTCTTTTTTTCATGTAGTTCAATGCAAAAAAAAAAAATCTCAAGAACACCTTGGGGAATTTCTTCAAATTTGGAACAACTGTCCACTTGGACTCCACAATGAACTGATTTTTGGTGGTCAAAAATCATCACCAAAAACCACCATTTGACCACCAAACCACCATTTAGGTGGTCAAAGGTCAAGGTCACTGTGACCTCGTCTGTCTTATTCCTGCGAAGGACTCTCAACACCTTGAAGGAATTTTTTCAGATTTGGTACAAACATCCACTTGGACTCAAGAATGAACTAATTAGAATTTGGTGGTTGCGGGTTAAAGATCAAGGTCACTGTGACCTCACAAATCACATTTTTTGCCATAACTCAAGAATTAATTTGCTAATAGACCTTATTTTCACAGCAGACGTTTTGAGATGTCATAGTAGTGAAAGGCTAAGCACAGGTGTATTCAATTACATTAATCATAACTGCATTCCATTTAGGGGAGCTTACTGGGACACTTAATGGAACTGAGCCATTGTTAATGTTATGAGTTTCACCTGTGCTTTTCCTACTGTGACCCAGTTCAACTGCTGTGAAAGAAGTCCATCAAAACAATTCACACAATGTGTAATAGGATAAAACGATAAAGTGATGACATTTTATATCCAAAGGTCAGCTCCACAGTGACCTCATAATGTTCTGCAAAAACACTCTATTGGCCATTACTCAACATTGTAACTCAGGAACAGAAGGGAAAACATTTGGTCAGATACTGAATTGGTGACACTAATCTTGAAACTGTGTGGATTGTATAGATCTTCTGTGCTGTTGGTTGAAGATGTATGTGAAGCATCCCTGTTTTTACAGACATGTATCTAAACTGTAAGTGCAACTTCACTTGTGTCTGGAGGCATACAGCCGCGAAGTGGTAATTCTAGTTTTACATTATGAATCAACCAATTTATTGTCACATGATATCATAATATACAGTTCCAGCTATTGTTAGTAAGGTTATTGTTTAAACAGGTTAATTAGACCTCCCCACATACTTAATGCTTGTTTTTTTTTCTTCTTCTTTTTTGTCTTGCAGATGGTGCTGCAGCAGATAGTGAACATTTTAAAATTGGCACAGGAGGTTGTGTTGACTCTCACTGATGTGGAGCTTCCTGAGTGGAAGCGCAGGCAGCAGATGGCCTGCATTGGAAGTCCAGTTGACACGTGTCTGGACCATCTCCAGAAGTGGTAAGACCAACCCATGCTTTTCATGTTTCCTTTTAAGGAAGGAACTTTGCATATTTGACAAAACTTGGTGTTATGTGTGTCTATGTTCACTCATGTTGTATGTGCAGGTTCACGACTGTGGCAGAGGTGCTGCTACAAGTACGTGAACAGCTGCAGAAACTGCAAGACCAGAACAAGAAGTACAACAGCACTGACGACTCTGGTCCAATGGCAGAAATTGAGAATTTCACCTTGTCCCTGTTCAAAAACCTTCTTCTAAAGTGAGAATTCAGGAGCTTTCTGTGTTAAATACACACAAAGTATTACACACTTATATTGTTGACATGTTTTCTTGTGGTTTTGTTTTGCAGCGCTCTAGTGGTTGAGAAACAACCGATCATGTCGAGTTTACCTCACCGACCTCTTATACTGAAGACGAGGGTGCGGTTCACAGTGTCAGTAAGGTGAGATTGCACCTATCACAGTGTTCTCTGCATGCATGTGATGCTAAAGTGCTTATTCCTTTGTTGAGGATGGCAGCTGCAGTCAGTCTATATTCACAACAATAACAACGGATGCCATTGGCTACACAGATTTATAGCAAACAAAACATTTTGAAAAGTAGCAATATACATTTTTAAGCTATTTGACCAGACATAGACATATCGTAATTAACTTAGTATTTTGTCTGTACGAATGAATTGCAAAATATGAGCCTCAAAGCTTTGAGGAGTTTAAGGGAAACACCACCTATATTAAAAATTCCAATGTGATATTTCAATGGTCTAGGAAAGTTTAATCAATATTTGTGAACATGAGATTCTCTCCCACAAAGCCAGAAATCAGCAAAGTAAGTCTCAAACTTGTGATGTCATTAAGTACTATAAAGTCTGGAGCTGCTCCTTAGACAATTAATGGGAACCTGATTTTGTAGAGCATCCTTTTTATTTTATGTTTTTTTATTCTATTGTGGTATTCTCAGTTGTGAAACACAAAATCTATCAATATACTCAGAACTCCCCCCTGTGCTCTCAGTGTCATCTAGAACATCTTTCAAAATGTGTTGTGTATGGAGCAGCTCAGGACGTGATACCCTATGACATCACAAATTTGTGTTTTAAGCACTCTAGTTTTTGGAATTGGGGGAGAGTTGTTCGTCTTCACTTATATGTGTTTTACCATCTTAGATCATGAGAATACATGTAGAATTTTGAAAATGGACATAGTTGCCCTTTAAGAGCATAGGAGACATAGGAGAACAATAAATAAACATTAATCTTAAGATAGTTTGGTTGGGTATTTTATGGAGAGATGACAAGACATGATGGGAAGGAGATGAAGGATTAGGGACATTCTGGTTTATTCTACTCTATGTATTTTTATGCTCATCCTCTAAGTATTTGTTTTTCACTTCTCAGGTTCTTAGCAAACCTCCCAGAGTTCAAGTGCCTGCTCAAAGTCAAACCTGTATTTGACATGTAAGTAAAACAAAAAACTTTGATCTGTGCCCATGATGTAGTACATTATTGATTTTATTTTTACTCTTTTACTTTTGTTTTTGTTTTTTTATAATTTTGTTTTTCCACTAAAAATAAGGGATGTTGAAGAGGCCAAGACAGTTAAAGGGTAAGTTAAACAATTTGAAAATCTGAAATGCAAAGTGATGTATTGTGTATATTGTCAAATTCTTGTAAATTACTGATATTCATAATAGACACACTCTGGTTGCTATCTTTGTAGGTTCCGTCACTTTGATTTCAACAGCGATGATGGTAAGGTGTTGGATGTGGACACGCCCCATGGAGGCTTGGTGGCAGAATTTGGTCACATGGTATGAAACTCCTCAAACTGCTGAACATGGATATTTAAGAAGCACTCAAACTTTGAAACGTGAACATGAGTTAAAGCTCTAAAGATATATAATAACTGTCATTTAAAGTATATATTGAGTGCATTTCCTTAAAACATTTTATTTTTTTTCAGTCACTCAAGGAAAGCAAAGCAAAAAGCAAAGGATCAAATGAGGTAAGATGAGACATTCAAATGAACTGCTATTTGTGGGTATAAGCACCACTTGATACTCTGTGTTGATTGTCACCTGCTGGCTGTGGACGTTTAACACCACTTACCGATCTAATGTCTCGTTTATTTGCATGAAAGTTGAGCCAGTTATCCAGCCAGATGTGTTATCAGCTTGTTGTGCTGCTCACAAGTGGCTAAACCAAACTGAGCCATGCACACACCTCTGAGACTATACTTTGGCACAGTGGTGCTTTGAGCTAAAAGCTAACATTGGAATCCTAACATGCTTACAATGGCAAAGCTATTTCGCTGATGTTTCGCCACAGACTGTACAAAATAATGGAAGTAGCCACCATGACATCACACATTAGTTTGTGGGCTACCCTTTTAAAACCTCAAGTTTCACATTTTGTCGACATTGCCATCTTGTTTATTTGCACTTACAGTTTTGTCCTGTCTTGTCTTGACAGTGACAATGAAACATACATTACATCATAGTTTTTAGCATCAAGATCTTTTTTTAAGCTCAACAACGTCGTTGTTGACGAACATTTTTCTTCATAGTTTTTGTCAACAAAATTAATTACTGTTTTCTTGAAGCCAGAAGTGACCATATTTGGACAGAAGGGTGGATTTGTGGAGGATATGCATTGCTACACCTCTATCTTGATGGACAGGTCACCTTGTAGCCACAAGGTAGCCACGCCCATAGCATACCCTGCTTTATCATCGATTTTACAGGTGCAAAACCTAGCAGTTTCGGCACCTTAGGCAAGCTTCACCTTTGGAAATCTCGTCAGGTGGAATTTAATAGTTCTTGAAGCTTTTCTTGTACAGCAAATTGATTTGGATTTGCATGTTGAATTTCAAGCCAATCTGACTTACAGTGTGAGGGATGGGGTCTTTCTAATATTAAATTTTTGGGCTGTAATTCTTGGGCAGCATTTGCGCACAACTTCTAGTCCTTGGTGAAATTTTCACTTGTCTATGAATACCATCTCACTGGAATTTGCATTTGTGTGAATGTAATCCCGCCCTTTCTTTCTTCATCAGAGTCTGACAGTCACTGAGGAACTCCACATCATTAAGTTTGTGACAGTGTTTCAGCATGCTGGACTGGAATTTGACATTGAGGTGAGTAAACAAACATGACATCAAATTAAAGTCAGAAGTCAGAGGCTTTTCAATCTCTTTGTGCTCTTTGCCACTGAATTGTAAGTATTATTGGTTGTTGGACAAAAAGGTCTTTTAGAGCAGAAACATTTATTGAATGGTCTCCTCCTCCTCCTTTGTTGGTCCAGGCCAGCTCTCTGCCTGTGGTTGTCATCTCCAGTACCAATCAGGTCGTCAGTGCCTGGGCCTCTGTCATGTGGTGCAACATGCTGTCCACCAGTGAACCAAGGGTAAAGCCATCACGCCTCCACACACAAAATAAACAATATTAGGATCTGTTCAGCTTCATGATAACTCACATCAAAACTACACCAAACAGTCATACACATGCATATTGGGTTGATGCTTTAATTTCTCATGTACAGATTGTGCTGTTTTCTTGTTGTGTTGCTCAAGTGCATATTTGTAAATGAAACCATCTAGTCTGACATCAAACTTTAACACTTTAACGTGATTTTGCTCTGTAGAACCTGTCGCTTTTCATCGACCCTCCTCCACTTGCCTGGCAGCAGCTGTCACAGGTTCTGAGCTGGCAGTTTTTGTCTGTTGGCCAACGGGAGCTTGACGAATACCAGCTCTCTATGCTCAGTGACAGAATTGTGGGTGAGTGTTTGACCGCTCCTTTCACAGAACTGAGACATGTCACTTTTTTCTTTTTTTTAAAGATATTTTTTGGGGCATTTTAGCCTTTAATCGATAGGACAGACAAGCGTGAAAGGGGGAGAGAGAGAGGGACACAGGCTAGAGTCAAACCTAGGCCGCTGCGGTAGCAGCCTTGTACATGGGCCGCCTGCTTGATCCACTAAGCCACTGATGCCCCAACATGTCACTTTCTGCAAAAAAGAAAACTTCCACATAGAATTTTTGTGAACTTCAGTGTGAAAATAATAGTTGTGCATTTTGGGAAATATGCTTATTCACTTCCTTGCTGAGAGCTAGATGAGAGGGTTGATACCACTCTCTTGTCTGTGTGATAAACATGAAACTACAGCTACGAGGTGGTTAACTTAGCTTAGTACAAAGACACTTCGTCTATCTCTCTCTGTGAAAAAATGAATGAGTAAAAACCACATGTGGTGTTAGCAACGTTTATGTATTGGACCAATTTTTCTTGGCTGGGCATACTGACTTTTTATTTGTACAAATTATACAAAGGAGATATAACATGTTAATTAGTGAGCTTCAGGGGTGTTGGTAAGTGGATTTTTTTTTACCTTTGGACATTGCCAGGCTAACAGTTTCCCTGTATTTCCAGTCTTTACGAAGCTAAGGTCAGCCTCTGTAGCTTCATACTGTACAGACACGAGAGTGGCATCGATCTTCTCTTCTACCTGAAGAAAGCCTAATTTGCAAAATTTCTGACTACTTTTTAACTACTACTGTTAGTGTCATCTCAAATGATAAAAGAGAAAAAAGCAAGTGTTTCCATTTTTGGGGGGAAACTGTCAATTTAAAAAAATATACACGTTAATGTACATCAGTAGGATTTAGGATTGTGTTTTTACTGCAGTCTATATAATATAAGCCTGATATCACTAAACTAAATCACAAATGTAAATAAGTCTGGAATCTCTCTCTCGCTCCTTACCAAAGAAATTGGTAATGTGACACAAAATATTGATTTAAAAATATTTTTTTTCCTTCTACCAGAATCTATTATCAGAACTGCCTCTATGGCGGTGGCCTGTTATTCAGAAATAAACAACTCCAAAATACCATAATTGACCAATCAGAATCAGGTATTCAACAAAGCTGTGTAATTACAACAGGTTAGTGCAGTAGTGACCAGGTCCACCCTGATAAATGGCCAGTCACAGCACAGTAGGGTGGGACTTGGCAAAAAGGAAAAAACTTAGTGCCTGAGTGATGGTTAAATGAAAACACTTTGCAGCATGCAGAGCTTAGCGGGTATATTATGAGTTGGTAACACTTTACAATAAGGTACACAAAATTAGAGTAGTTACTGAGGAACTAATGAGGAACTAATGAGTAGTTACTGAGGAACTAATGAGGAACTAACTATTAGTTAATGGTCAGTTCCTCAGTAACTCATGATCAAATTTCAGAGGAGTAGTTACTGAGGAACTTAAGAGGAACTATTGAGTAGTTACTGAGGAACTAAGGTACACAAAATTAGAGTAGTTACTGAGGAACGAATGAGGAACTAATGAGGAACGAATGAGGAACTAATGATGAACTATTAGTTAATGGTCAGTTCTTCATTAACTCATGATCAAATTTCATAGAGGGGCTAATCACGACTTAATAATTAGTGAACTAGTTACTTCATCAGTGCAGAATCATTACTCAATAACCCATCCATTAGTTAACCTTTTTATGTCCTAAAGTAAAGTGACACAT